CCAGTCCAACCAGCCCAGCTCAGCCCAGGGCCAGTTCAGCCGCAGCTTCAGCTCAGCAGTCAGCCCAGCTCATCCCAGTTCGCGGGGGAGTCACCGCTCAGCCCAGCCTCCAGCCCAGCAGTTCAGCTCAGCCCACCCAGCCTCAGCTAGTCTAAACCTATGCTACAGCCCAGCCTCAGGACCCCAGCTCAGCCCAGTCCAGCTTAGCCCAGCCTAGATTCAAGCTCAGCCAGCCAGCCAGCTCAGCTAGCCTAAGCCCAGTCAGCCTAGCCCAGCTCAGCCCAGCTCAGCCCAGTTCAGCTTAGCCCAGCCCAGTTCAGCTCAGCCCAGCCCAGCCCAGCCCCAGCCCAGCTCAGCTAGCCTAGCCCAGCTCAGCCCAGCCCAGCTCAGCCCAGCGTCAGCCAGCCCAGCCTCAGCCCAGCTCCAGCCCACGTTCAGCCTAGCTCAGCCCCATTTCAGCCAGCCAGCCCAAGCCCAGCCCAGCTCAGCTAGCCTAGCCCACAGCTCACCAGCTTCAGCCTAGCCCAGCTCAGCCCCCAGCTTCCAGCCCAGTTTCGCTTACGCCAGCCAGTTCAGCTCAGCCCAGCCAGGCCTCAGCCCAGCATCAGCCTCAGCCCACTCAAGCCCTAGCCTCCAGCCCAGCCCAGTTTCCAAGCTCAGCCCAAGCTCCAGCCCCAGCCCAGTTCAGCTCAGCCCCAGCCTCAGCCAGCCCTAGCTCAGCCCAACCCAGCCCAGCCCAGCTCAGCCAGGTCAGCCAGGCAGGGTCAGCTCAGCTCAAGCTAGCTCATCAGTTCATCCCAGTTCCCAGATCCCAGCTCAGCCAGCTTAGCCCAGCTCAGCCCAGTTCAGCTCAGCCCAGCCCAGCTCAGACTAGCCTAACAGCTCAAGCCCAGCTCAGCCCCTATAGCCCAGCTCAGATCCAGCTCAGCACCCAGCCCCAGCAGCTAGCCTAAGGCCACCAGCCTCAGCCCAGCTCAGCCTAGCCCAGCTCAGCCCAGTTCAGCTTAGCCCAGCCCAGTTCAGCTCAGCCCAGCCCAGCCTCAGCCCAGCTCCAGCCCCAAGGCAGTCCAGCCACTCAGCCCAGCTCACCCAGCCCCAGCTCAGCCCAGGCCAGTTCAGCCCAGCTCAGCCCAGGCCAGTTCAGCCCAGCTCAGCTCAGCTAGTTCAGCCCAGCTCAGCCCATTTCAGTCCAGCTCAGCCCACCCAGCTCAGCCCAGCCCAGTTCAGCTCAGCTCAGCCCAGCTCAGCCCAGCTCAACCTAGCTAAGCCCAGCTCAGTCCAGTTCAGCTCAGCTAGTTCAGCCGAGCTTAGTCCAGTCCAGCCCAACCCAGCTTAGCCCAGGCCAGTTCAGCCCAGCTCAGCTCAGTCCAGCCCAACCCAGTCTAGCTCAGCACAGTTCAGCCCAGCTCAGCCTAGCTCAGCCCAGTTTAGCCCAGCCCAGCCCAGTTCAGCCCAGGCCAGGCCGGTTCAGCCCAGCTCAGCACAGCTCAGCTCAGCTTAGCTCAGCCCAGGTCAGGTCAGCTCAGCCCAGTTTAGCCCATCCCAGCTCAGCCAGCCCAGCTCAGCCCAGCTAAGCCCAGCTCAACCCAGCCCAGCTCAGCTCAACTAGCTCAGCTCAGCCCAGCTCAGCCCAGGAATGCCCAGTTTAGTCCAAGCCAGTTCAGTCCAGCTCAGCCCAGCTCAGCCCAGCCCAGCTCAACCCAGCTCAGCTCAGCTCAGCTCAACCCAGCTCAGCCCAGCTCAGCCCAGCTCAGCCCAGGCCAGCTCAGTTCAGCTCAGTTCAGCCCAGCCCAGCCAAGCCCAGCTCAACCCAGGCCAGCTCAACCCAGCTCAGCCCAGCTCAGCCCAGCTCAGCCCAGGCCAGCCCAGTTCAGCTCAGTTCAGCCCAGCCCAGCCAAGCCCAGCTCAGCCCAGGCCAGCTCAGCTCAGCTCAGCTCAGCTCAACCCAGCTAAATGGGTGCAGCCCAGCCAAGCTCAGCCCAGGCCAGTTAAGCTCAGCCCAGGCCAGTTCAGCCAGCTTAGTCCAGTTCAGCTCAGCTCAGCCCAGCTCAACCCAGCTAAGCCCAGCCCAGCCCAGCTCAGCCCAGCCCAGCTCAGCCCAGCCTAGCCCAGCCCAGCTCAGCCCAGACCAGTTCATCCCAGTTCAGCCCAGTTCATCCCAGTTCAGCCCAGCCTAGCTCAGCCCAGGCCAGTTCATCCCAGCTCAGCCCAGTCCAGTTCAGCCCAGCTCAGCCCAGGCATGCCCAGTTCAGCCCAATTCAGTCCAGCTCAGCCCAGCCCAGCTCAGCCCAGCCCAGCTCAGCTCAGGCCAGTTCAGCTCAGCTCAGCCCAGCTCAGCCCAGTTCAGCCCAACTAAATTCAGCTCAGCCCAGTTCAACCCGGCTCAGCCCAGGCCTGTTCAGCCCAGCCCAGCTCAGCTAAGGCCAGTCCAGCCCAGCCCAGGTCAGCTCAGCCCAGTTCAGCCCAGCTTAGCCCAGTTCAGCCCAGTTCAGCCCACCCTATCTCCTCCCAGCTCAGCCCAGCCCTGTTCAGTCCAGCCCAGGTCAGCCATATTCAGATCAGCCCAGCCCAGGCCAGTTAAGACCAGCTCAATCAGTTCAGCCCAGTTTAGTCCAGCTCAGCCCAGTTGAGCTAGTTCAGCCCAGTTCAGTGCAGCCCAGGTCAGCCCACTTCAGCCCAGTTCAGCTCAGCCCAGCTCTGCCAGTTCAGCTCAGTTTAGCCCAG